CAGTACAATGACAACTCACTGCCAGCAACAGGGCCAGCTGAAGTGTTTTACTGTCTCTGTTAGTGAGGTCAAACACACCTCTCTCCTCCCCAGCGTTGGTGACATTGACTTTCATTCTGCCTCCACTCGCTCCCTCTCTCTCCCCCTGTCTCTCTTCTTTCATTGCCTCCGTCTCCCTCCCTTCGCTTCTGTCTCCCCCACCTCCCCTCTAATTCACGGCGTTTAAAGCAGCCGGGGCTTTTAAGGGAAGTTAATTGCACTCAAATTATGTTCGACCGCGAAAGGAGTGAGGGAGCGACGGAGGGGAGACGGAGAGACAGAGAGACGAAGAGATGGAGGGAAGGAGGGAGGGATGGATGTCAGAGTGAGAAGATAATTGCGCCAGTGAGGGACGCTGCGATTAGGGTCACTCTTTCTCTCTCTGTCTGTCGAACAGCCGAAACGTCACATTTGGATGGTAGTAAACAACTTGGCAGGTGATCAGGCTCTTGTTTTGAAAGGGTGAAACTACGGCAGTGGAGCAAGACTTGAGAGACAAAGATGGATAAGAAGACAGAGAGAGGGGAGCTTGAGAGGGAGACAGAGGGGTTCACTGCGTCTGTTATCTGTTTGGTTCCCATGGCAACATCCAACCTGGTTAAAAAGGTTGACACTGTGGGGGTGGAAAGGAAGATGGTGTATATGGTTATGTGCACGTAGGTAGGGGGATGTATAAGTGTGTGTTCGTGTGTGTGCGTGTGTCTGTGTGTGTGTGTGTGCAGCCATTACTCATGGACTTAACTGGGACTAAATTATGTATTAGACAGAGGTATAATGAAAATCATTCAAATGAAATTTCTATCTTTTCTTCTCGTGGAGCGCTGGGGAGACCCCGAGAATTGACCTGCGAGTCAGACTATAATTAACGTGTCCGATCGCACCCAGTCCCATTCTGTCTCCTATTCCCACAATGAAATTAAACCTCGCGGCAGAGTCCTGGGAAGCTAATGAAATGGGAGTGTGACAGAAAGGGCCGATCAAAGATCTCAGGCGCGCACACGAGTCTTGCATCCAGGTGTACATGCATGTACACAGAAGCAACTTGTGTCTTATTTTCTTGTTTTTGTCCATTGTTTTCTATGATAGCATTGTACTCATCGGTGTAATTGCTGAGATCTGGGTAACGTTGCAATAAAGTCGGACGGGGTGAGGAATGAGTCATCAGACAATCAGACCAAAATGTTGGTAATAATCTCTTATTGCTGGTGCTTCAATTGGGCCATTAGTCACCGGTATAAAGTGCTGGAGGGTTATTACTTGATCTCGCCACTTTTTATTGCATGTAGGTACCTATGGTGTATTTACTGTAAGTTTTGGGCAAAACTGGTCTGATTTCTGCTGAAACAAGAGGGAAACATTATAAATTGTGAGGTTAAACATGCAGTGTAGTTTGGTTTGAAAGCTGCTGAAACAGCTTATCTTTCCACTGGTGCCTCTAAAATCCTGTCTGTAAATGGTCTTTTGATAGCCCAACAACTATTGCATGTAAGTATTACATTATTCAATTAAGTGATAACCTTTATCACAAATTCCACCCTCAAATTAAAAGTACCTTGTGAAGTTTTTGACCACAAGGTGCATGTAGAGCAAAGTGTATCTCTGTCCTGTTTTGTATGCTGATGCACTTGAACGTGTGGTAGCACACCTGTGATCCCACTGATCAACAGTTGTGCGGTGTTAAGAAGCGTAGCAATATGTCCCGAGGCAATGAAGAAGAAACTGTTCATAAAATTGATGCACATTTTTAAGGAGGAAGGACATAAATTAAGCACTCACAGATACACAAAATACATTTTGGTGAGATTCAAGCTACCATTTTAATCCCAATCCATAAACTGTTTGCACTTACAACTATGGTGAGTGCTGTAAGTCAAATTTGAACCTGAAAGTAAAGTCTGAAAAGTGTGATAGAATGACGCCACATTCACAGATCTCAGCAATGAACTTGGTGACTGCACTGATAGTTCTACCCACAGGAATGATGGTCAAATCTATAAAAACTTAAGAATGCACAGTTTTCTGTCAAATTAGGGGTCATTACCAACATTTTGGCTTGGGTGTGCATTCCCAGATCTGTGCAGTTATTTTGGTGAGGAGAGTGTTATTATTCCTGACCGGCATGACATCTAAAACTACGAAAATAAGACCCAAGTTGTAAAAAAACAAAATTTTACTTTTAGTGATTTTAAACAAATCTAATTAGATATTGTAGAAGTGATATTATTTAGGGAGGCAAGCAGAATCACGCAAGGCCCTCACTCTCTCACACATACATATAGGAGTAGGGGTTCACAGCACCACTACAGAAGGATCTTTGTTCTCAGGGTGAGATACCAACACCGCTGTGAGGCTCTCTCTCTTCACATGTGCACACGTTCGTGCATGCGTCCACACACACACACCAGGTCCAGTGTTTTGGTTTCCTGCCTGCCCTATTGTACCCTGGCAGTCTTTAATAAATGGTCCTCTGTGTATTTGTGTGTGTGAGAGTGTGTAGACTCATCCATCAGCCCTCCTGGCCTCATGTCACATCCAGCGTTTCCTCCGTCCCGCTGACACTACTCAGCACTACTGATCACCCACCGTCACCTTCACTCCTCCAGGGATCTGCGGCATGAAACTCAGGACAAGGCAGACACACATTGCATATATTTCTCTTCAATTGTGAGGCATGCACAATATCACTATGTGTGCATGTGTGTGTCTTTTTGATTCATTCTCATGTGGTCATGAAGGGGGTTGCTTCCTCCAGACTCCCCAGCACTGCAGCTCCATCACAGCCCCACAAGGGAGCCTGATAGGCAGGCAGAGAGCGAGATGGGCTCCCCATCCCCCCTTCAGGCAGCGACTGGCTAGGCTGAAGGGTCCCAGCACCAGACCCCCTTTCATAGCCCTGAATGGACTTGCCTTATTTATATTCACACTCTGTCACACAGGGGGACCCCAATCTCACAATGCCACTGTGGCTTTGTCCGGCAACTCTGTATTTATATGTGTGTGTGTGTGTGTGAGAGAGAGAGAGAGAGAGAGAGAGAGAGAGAGAGAGTTTGTGTGTGTGTGTGCGCGGGTATTTGTGTTGTTTAATCGGAGGGCATGTTGCCACTGTGTAGTCTGTGCATGAGAATTCATTGCTGTGTGTATTCCTGAAGTGTGTGTGTGTGTGTGTGTGTGTGTGTGTGTGTGTGTGTGTGTGTGTGTGTGTTAGTGTGTGTGTGTGTGTGTGTGTGTGTGTCTATAGCTCTAATGGAATGCCTCCCTCCTCTATTCACTGAACCCACATCACAAGCAGGCAGCTGGGCAATATATGTGTGTGTGTGTGTGTGTGTGTGTGTGTGTGTGTGTGTGTGTGTGTGTATGTGTGTGTGTGTTCCGACCCTCCCTCTGTGTTCAGTTGTAACCCAGAGCAGCGCTTTCATTTTCCTGTCATAACGTGTATTGATTTCCCTCAGCCTTGCAGCAACACACACACACACACACACACACACACACTCACAGATATCCGATGATCCTTAAAGTCACGCACACACATGCACACATTCATATGCTCTTGTAAACACACATTTTGCGTACACACACACACACACACACATAGTTTGTCTCTGTCGGATAAGGAACATTGTGTTCAAAAGCAGCCCTGTTGGAGTAAGATTAGTTCTCACATATGGTCCCCACTTTTGCAATCACACACTCACAGGTGCACACACACACACCGTCACATACTCTTTGTGACATAAAACAGTAAATACGGCTGATTGCTAAATTAATCTTCCACGTCAATGCAGCTCCTCATGCCTGCGTTTGCTTGGGAGAAAGTGATCACTCTCGCCTTCCTTAGTGTTTTCTCATTTTCCTGGCCATACCCTCTCTGCTCCTCTCGTACCTATCTTCAACCCCCCCCCCAAACCACATCCAACTCTATTTGTATTGTAATTGCCTTGGTAAACAGCACCACTTTGGCACTGAAGCAGCTCTGATAGCTTGTGTTTGGGATGCATTAAGAGTGGCGATGCAGACACCATGAGTGTGTGTGTGTGTGTGTGTGTGTGTGTGTGTGTGTTTGTTTGCGTGTCTGGCGGCAATTGAGTGGTGTGCGTCACATAGCAGCCCCCTCCTTATGCTCAGTTTTTTTTTAGACACGCAACCGTTTCAGTCGATCTTTTCTGTTTATCAGACATGATTGGTTCAAGTTTCGCTCTTCATTCCAGTGCAGCTTTAAAGACGTCACAAAGATGCAACATGATTACAAAACCCCACTGAGTCATATTTACTGATTACTTCATATAAACACTAATATATCATAGCTGCATTAACTGCAAAGTTAATTAGGATCACCTTCTTGATCGCTACAAGTCACTGCAAATGTCCACAGAGTTACAGTACGCAGCTTTTCTTGGAGTTTTTTTCACCTCTTGTAGTTATTCCCTTTTTCCAGAAAGTCGAGCTTAAGGTTTTGAGAAAACAATCTCCATATTTACAAGATAAATCCCACTCATCTTATACTTTCTGCTATTATAAATGGCAGATTATAGCAAACCAAAGAAGTTTTCAAATGTTTTAGCCATTTTATGCTTTGACAGTAGACAAATGACAGTAGAGAGTAGAGATCAGAGTAGAGAGAAATGGGGAGCCACAAGCGCAAAAACTCCACAGCGGGACTGAGGATGTTGCAGTTGAGGCTCCTTAAACTCCTAGAGCACCTCTTTTTACAATATTTTATTTCACATTGTGGCAAGATTCTTTTATAGATATTTAGGTGTTTTTAATATAACTGCTAATGTCTTGTCTCCACGGTATAGTATGTTCTAATTGGACAGATACTGTCTCAAAACTATACTTAATATGGCTGAATAAAATATGTACAGAGTGGTAAGAGTTGCTAGGGATCTTAAAACACTCGTAAATGTAGTAAAAGTCGATGTCACTCAGTGTGTGATGTGTGTTTGTCTACTTTCTCTCTGCAGTACGACGATCGTCTCATTCTCTGGCTACTGACATGTTCGAGCAGCACCTAGGGGCCCACCTACTGCAGGTAACGACCACAGCACCCACGCTCTCTTTCTTCTTCTGTGATGATTATAATGATATCCTGTAACTATACGTGTTTACATTACGCGTTTGCGATGTTTTCATACTCTTTGGTTTGCACGAGTCATCTTTAAGTGCTGTCCTGTGAAAACCACGTGTCAGAAGTTTTCGCAAGCTATGAGAAACTGCTCTGCTCAACTTTTGTTTTTATGGATCATAAGATCAGTGTCATCAAGTATTTTCTTTGACAGACAGGCACATTTGTTTCACAACTGAGTTCAACACAATTGAGTCTTCCTCCCCTCAGTCGCTCAGACTTACATTTTCCACGCAAACTCCTAACACATGCTCTCACATTCACACACATGGACACCCGCACGTCTCATAAACCTCAGATGCTTGGACGATATCGTTGGCTGCCAAAGAATGCCTCCCTTTGCACTGACAGATGAATGGAGCCTGAGGGGGATTCTGGGGCAGGAGGGCTGCAGGGATGACGAAATGCAGCATGTAGAGACAAAGGCTCAGAGCAAGTGCGAAGAAGGTAACACTGCAGATTGTACTTTAGACTAGGAGGAGGCTGAGGGAGGAGAGAAGGCTGGGTACGCAACCAAAGCAGGGAGGGATAAAGAAAAACTTGAAGGATCTTAATGCCTTTATGTCTTATGTAAAGCACTTTAAATTACCTTGTTGTTGAAAGGTGCTATACAAATACATTTGTCTTGCCTAAGTAGCAACCAGGTAGGAGTGGGAACAGGTAGAGAGTGAAAAAAGAAGAAAAGGGAATAGAGGGTGAGTCTTTAGAAGTGAGAGGGTTGTGGTAAAACAAAGAAACATTACATATGTCTGCTCTCCGCCGGCATTTTAAAGAGGAAGGGAGGCTTAGGGAACGGCGCTGATAGAAATCAAATTAACGCTCCAGAAAAACTGTATGATTCTTCCCTCCCAGCCGTCCTCCCGCCGTAATAGCCTGATAATTGCACTTTAGTTCTCCGACATTCAGGCGGCTGGTTTCTCCTCGCCGCGACACACGACGCCCCACACCCCGGCCACACATTTGCATACTGGATGTGTCAGTTGCATAAATTACCACTGCCACTTTAAGCACTGGGCCGCCAAAATAGCAATCATTCTTCTAGAGAAAAGTGGCCCTGGTCTGATCGCCTGTGTGTGTGTGTGTGTGTGTGTGTGTGTGTGTGTGTGTGAGGCTGAGGCTGTGTCGGCTCACTCCTGGATGCTTGTTATGACGATTAGTATTATTCTCTGAAGCAGTCCTCTCTAATGGTCTGGCTGTATACCTTTCACTTCTCATTAGAATCACTGCAGGCTGTAATGACTCTGGTTCTATCTGTACCGTACCGGTGTTTATATGTGTATGTGTGTGTGTGTGGGTGGCCGGAGAGTCAGGACAGAGTTTTGGTTCTGAGTTTATTACAGTTGATTGAAACAGCTCTGGTCTATAAGTTCATTTTCTCATGTCTCTTTGCTCTATTTGGTTATGTATGTTTGTGTGTGTGCTTGTCTAAGTGTCTTACAGTGTGTGTGTGTGTGTGTGTGTGTGTGTGTGTGTGTGTGTGCACATGTAGCATTTTTGCTTCTGTGCTGCTGTCTGTGTTTTTAGTAATGCAGGTCTTGTTGACAGCTTTTGTGTGTAGCTGCAGCTTCCATCTATGGGACCTGTTTCATGTCTGTTCACTTTATGCATTTGTGTGTGTGTGTGTGTGTGTGTGTGTGTGTGTGTGTATGTGTGTGTTTGTGTCTGTGTGTGTGCGTGTGTGTGCGTGTGCGCATCTGTGTGTGAGTGCTCTTGTGAATTGAGAGAAGAGGCCGAGGGGTGACGGGTTGTTTGTTCTCCAGCTCATTGTAATTTGTTCGATACATACTAATTGCTCTAATTTGTCTGTCTTGTTTCTGTTTGCCTTTGTGTGTGTGTTTGTGTCTGTGTGTGCGTGTGTATGATGTGTGTTTTTTTTTATGTACACAGTCTCTGGATGGCTTTGTGTTCGTGGTCAGTCATGAGGGACGGTTCCTCTACATCTCAGAGACAGTTTCTATCTACCTGGGACTCTCACAGGTAAGACGACCTCATTGCACACACACATGCGTGCACACACACACTTGAATAATCCTTTGTGTGCCTATCTTCTGCTTACGCTTTCATATCCCCTCCCAGGAGTGTGTGTGTTTGTGTGTGTGTGAGTGTGAATATCTTTGACTGCACTCTTTGCGTTCATCTCTGGAGTGCAACTCTCACGGGGGCAATGCTACTCTCTCTCTACCTCTCTCTACCGCCCTCTCTCCCTCTCCAGGTGCTCACCTCTGTTGATTGCCTGTGGCCTCTTGTACTGTGAATGTTAAGTCCTGCCATTTTGCCCAGATGCATAAATAATAACAGTAATTACTGGCCCAGCAATCAAAGTGTCGCCCCAGCGCGCTGGGCCTGTCTAGGGGAACAAATCGATAGGCATCTTAAAAGCCACATTGATTGTAGGGAGGGGGAAAAACACCAAGGGGGATGGGAAGATAGATAGAGACAGCCAGAGAGAGAAAGAGAGGGGGAGGAAAGGAGGAGAGGTGTGATAAGAGAGAGATGTTTCGAAGTAAGAAGAATCGGTACAGCATGAGAGAGAAAAAAAGAGGGAAGTTAGTGCTTCAATAATAGAAGTAACCAAGTGTTTTTTAAATGTGGAAATTTGCTGTGATTGAGGGTCTACCCTTGGCGACATTAAAGCTTAGTCTTGGCACAATACTCACAAAGAGTCATTGGTCACTGTAATTCTTTCCCCTGTCTATACTGGCTGTGAAGCGACCACCTCCTAAACCGACTACACTGTAAGAGACAAAATGCAGTCTTCGTTCCATGTAAACATGCATTGTAAAGTAGAGCAGACAAAACAAGTGGGTGTCTGCCAAAGTCATTTTAGTATGAAATGACTGTAATGTATGAATATGAAATGGGCAGTGAAGAGGGCTACTACCTGGAAGCCATATGTAGTTTTGTTTCCAGGACATGACATGAATATTGTGTGACTACAAGAAATAGCCTCTTCATTTGCACAAAATAAGTACTGTAGAATCTGTCGCCCATCTCTCTGGAGCTCACCCATTGACATCTACGGTATAGATTTTGATTCATAGTCTAGCTTTGAATCTCACCCATTGATGGATGTTTTGTACAGGGCATGTTGTTCTTTAATTATATTCTTTACAGTAACCGTGTTTGCGCTCTGTAATGTAATGCAACAATGGGGAGGTTTGCATTGTCTCATTGCAGAATAGGAGAGTGCTGCAAGTGCTATAATATGTTATCACCTTTTTTACATTCTTCTTTCATTCCATATGATACAGAGCAAATCACGGCGAGTAAGCTGTCATTGCAGATGTCTTTGTTGAATTTCCTTAAAGAGTAACTTAACACCAGACTGAGAAGCAAAGCTTTATTTTCCACTTGGATGAAAGTTTAAAGCTGCTTTAACCACACCCAGCATCACTGATAATGAGTTTATATTTTGCCTTCATTTTCTTCTCCAAATAAGTTTGTTCAAAGTGTAACTTAGACTGTGGTTTGGTGTGGTCAGAGATGTGCTCTGGCGCACCTGACCAGACCCAACAGTGACACCACTGACATACACTGGAGTACACCTGTACGTCACTGCAACAAGGTGAGAAGTTAAACAGCAAAAACTTTATTTTTTGTTACTCTTTAATGTTTTATTCACTATCAAAAACACACAGACACAGGAAACTTGTATGAGAAAACACAAGCTACCCATGCTGACTAATCACAATTATTACAATCGCCATGTGGTATTTTTTGTAGTCGCCAACAGCTCTAACTTGCGGTTACATTTTTGATTCAGCAGCTATGTGCATAGGCTCCATTATGGAGAGGAGAAATGATTATAGAGGCCATTAACTCCTCTTTTAATGAACATATGGGCATGCAAGTGTTGTATTATACGACAGCCTTGGAAAAATACCAACCTTTGTCCAAAGAGGACAAGGATTGTTTGTTTGCACCTGCCGTGAAGTTTCTTGGGTCTTTGCACTTTGCAAAGACAAATGCAGATAAAAATAATGATGCACTCACACACATAGCCTACAAATGAAGACATAAAGTGGCAAAAAATGTAAAGATAACTAGCCAAAACATTGAGATAGAGCAGTGGAAGACAGAAGAGGGGAAGGGAAGGGAAGATACAGAGAGACCGAGAGAAACATATAGAACCAGACAGACAATTACGATAGAGAAAGAAAACAAAGGAGAAGAATATAGAAAAGAAAGAGAGACAGTGGTAAAGAGGAGAGAGAGAGTCTGAGTGTGTAAATAGAGTTTAAATGTGCAGTAGGAATGAAATTCGCCTTGGGATTGCCTAGGTAAACAAGACAGCCGAGGCTTTGGTGGAGATGCTAATAAAACAGAGCTGTTCTTATCAGCTGAGCAGATGGCCTAACCCATCACATCTACTCAAACAGGGCCTAAGCCATCAGCATTCTAATGAAATTATTTATGATCGAAGATTACGTTCAAAACCTTGAACATACAACGCCACGTTTACCTTCCTGAAAAGATGAGAGCGAGCAGGGATGGAGGGGGTTTATGATGAGGAAGAGAGACAACCCGAAAGGGCAGATGGAGTTAGGAGTTGAGCAGATGAGTTAGGGGGATATATGAGAGGCAGTATATAGTGTGTTTATGGACACATACGACGAGAAAGAAAGACATCCAAAAAAGAGAGAAAGAAAAGGTGGGAGGGAGAGGACAAAAACACTTCGGTGTACTTTGTAGGCGAGCGGAGGCGGACACAGGGGAGAAAGGAAGGACAGACAAACAAACGATGTTCTGAGTAAAAAAGTGTAACTGGTGGTTTGTTTTAGAGGGCATGTTGCCCCTGTGGACCGCCCCTGCCCTGCCGTCTCCTGTCCCCCCTGTCTGACCCCTCTGCCCTGGCTTACACCCTGGGCTTCTCCCCTGACAGGGGGGTTGCTTAGCCGGCTTAGCCCAGGTCAGGCACCTTGACCAAGGGCACAGCCTGCCGCCTACTCCCCTGGCGCCTCCAGGTATCATTTTTCTTCTCACCGGGTCTCCAGGCCGGAAGCACGGGGACAATCCTGGGAATGCTACATAGCAGATGAGCAGGGGGTGTGGGAGGAAGTAGAGGAGGCAAAGGAAGGATGGATGGAGTATAGGAAGAGACAAAAGGCTGGAGAAGATGAAGAATTGGAGGGCGGAGCGGTGTAAAGGGTGGAGAAGTAAGAGCATGGGCTGGGAGAAGAAAGAAAAGGGATAAATGGGGTAAAGAGAAGGGAGGAAGGATGGTAGATTAAGGGAGGAGAGAATTGATCTGGGAATGGTTAGTATGCAGCCCCCGCTCCCCCCTCCCCCCCCCCCCTCCCTCCCTCTCTCCTCTCCCATCAGTCAGTGAGGGCTGAGGGCTGAGAGTGTGTTGTGGACCACTGCCCGGATGCCTCATACATATTAAAGCCCCCTGCTATTATTTATATCATGTCTCTCCTTCCCCTGCTTGCTGCCCTCCTCCTCCACCTCATCCCCACCACACTGCCATATATGCACGTGCGTGTCTACACACACACATACACACACATACACACACACACACACACACACACACACACACACACACACACACAAACACACACACACACACACACACACACATACAGGTTCACACAAATGCACTGACAGACAACTACTCACACAAACAATGACACACAATGACGCGTGGAGACACAAAAACAGACAGTCTAGTCACATACGCAGAGAAACAGAGGCGTGCCTTGTGCTTGCATACGCACACACACACAGTCACACACACACGCACACACACACACACTCACAGACACACACACTCAGAGAGATTTGAATGATCTCGGTCTCTCCTCACGTCTCCCTTCGCGCCACATTCTATACCTGTTTTTATGTCTGAGCCTGACTCATCCTCTCAATCGCTCCGTCTCTTTCTCATCTTCTCATTTCTGTCTGATCTTTTTTCAATCCCTCCCTTCTCCCTGTGATGGAGTGATATTATTCGGATAGGTCTTAAGCCCGGTAAAGCCCATAAGGACCTGTTTGTCTCTCTACCTTGTTTTCCAATACCACAGGGCCAGGGGATTGTGTCTCTTTCAGATGGCCGGTCCAGTGTTCAGTGAGCAGAGGTAAATTTAGCCCTTGTTTAAAAACGATAATAATTCCCGTTGCAGAAGAATCACAATTCATAAAACAAAAACAGATAGATCACAGATCACAGATAGATAGATAGATAGATAGATAGATAGATAGATAGATAGATAGATAGATAGATAGATAGATAGATAGATAGATAGATAGATAGATAGATAGATCTCAATAATAATAATAATAATAATAATCAGTAATAAAAGATGCCTGAAGTAAGGTTCATATAGAGTTTTAGAAACCAAACCCAGTCCATTTACTTGTCATATATCCAGCCTCTTAATGCATAGATGCGAACTCTTAATTTTTAAAACATTAATGAACGAGTCAGTTTTGATGTCAGAATCAAAAGGAATGCGGCAGAAACATCCAGCACCTAGTAATTACACTGCTGACGTTATATCTGCATAATGAAAAGAAGGAAGGATCAGAAAGAAACACTTAAACTGTACATTCAGGTTGTTATGAAGCTTTCAGTGTAACCCCTTTAATACACTGGATATTTCTCTTTAGGGCCTTAAATATTATGGACCATTACATTTAAAGGAGGTTTTATAGAATTAAAAGATTTTACAGATATACTTCTTAAAGGTCCACTGTGTAACATTTAGAAGGATCTAATGGCAGAAATGGAATATAATATTCATAGGTAGGTTTTCATTAGTGTATAATCTCCTAAAGATAAGACTAATCTGTTACCTTAGAATGAGTAATTTTTATCTACACATGGAGCGGGTCCTCTTCTGTGGAAGCTGCCATGTTGAACCACCATGTTTCTACAGTAGCCCAGAACAGACAAACCAAACAATGGCTCGAGTTTGTCCTCCACACTTGGATGGCCGAACTGTATTCAAAAGGTCGCAATCACCGTTAGATGCCACTGAATCCTACACACTGGTCCTTTAAGAGAGATTTACAGCTCTGATTTTGTTCCTCTTTTTCTTGCAACCATCAACTTAAATTGATGATGCTACCTACGGTTAATCTCTGTGATAACTGCCAAAACAGCTTAAAGTGGAAAGAGTCAATCGTGGTGATGAACCTAAAGAGAATTATCACCTGAACCTGCAGTTCCCCTCACCTTTATGGTGGTTTGTAGTAAATTTCAGCTCATTGTTTTGCTGTCCGACCCACAGCTTTACTGTTCTGGTTCACTCTCACCACTCTCAGTGTCGTTTTCGGCCGGAACAGCCAGCTGTTTTCAACAAAGAAAGCAGTAAAAAAACAGCCTACACTACCTGTTCAGCACCAAATATCAGACAGTTAGTGATTAGCTGAACACAGTGCAGCATTCAGAAGCTAGATATTTCCCTCAGGAGTTGGTGAAGACCAAAAAAAGTGCTAATTCTGTTTCTCTGTAACTGCTGGATGTTTAAATAACCAATGGTTTGCAAACAAGTTACACTTTAAAATGTGATAATATTAGTGTTTGTAACTTGTTTCCATTACCCCCAAGTGGCAGAAAATTCCGGGACATGTAAGTTAAAGTATCATATCATTGTCTTCTGTAATATAACAAATTTCCGAGGGTAACGGAATATGTGTGCAGGGTATAGTTAAAAAATGAATCTAAATCCACCCACATTGGTTGTTAGATCAGGAAGGAAGGAGGATGAAAATGAATACATTAGACCTCAGCCTAGCTAGCTACTACCAGAGCCTCTCTTTGTCACTGTGGCTATTACGGTGTACCTGCTGTCAAAGGTGTCAAAGGTTTTACAGGAGGAGAAAAGAGAGGTTTTTTTTAATATTAAATTTAAAAAATACATTTCTTTAACATATATTTAGCATTTAACAAGAGAAAACTGATCAGTGAGCACAGGGAGATAGGATCAGATCTTGAGATTTTTATTTTTTATTTTACTGTGTCGGTAAACTCGTCAGGTAGGCCTATGCATTATGACGTCTGCTTATTTCATATGCCCTTGGTGTTCAGTATTTGAATTAATGAGGCCGTTAAAACTTGTGTATCAGTGCCAGGGCATCCAGTGGTGGGGTGGTAGGGATGCAGCTTCTGTTGTTGTGAACCTTTTTCCAGGCCTTTCCCTGCATTTCTTCATCTTTACCGCTACTATCACTGTCAAATAAAGGTTAAACAAAATCTCTTTTCATATATTGGCCTTTAAAATGCTTAAATAGTCATCAAAATGGTTACCTAGGTCAGTGGGTGTAGTGATTGTCATGTTTTGCAGAAGAAAATTATGTAGGGAACTTACCCCACTCTGCGCCTATAAAATCTGCTATTTTATAATGTTTTGGTGGCACAATTACAAAAAACAGGGCAACCCCCAAGATATTAAACCCTGTCTGGACCTAAGAACCTCTATCCCGTCTCTTATCCTCCCACACTCAATGGGGTTTCCTCCATCTTTACCACTCTCTGTTCAACTCATCGTCCACTGCTCTCATTCCTCCGCTCCCGCCTTCCCCGTTCCCACTTCTTCCTCCTCTCCCGGCTGTGATGTCCTTGAGGGCCTGCTGAAGCTCCCATAAAGCCTGCAGTAAATGGCTCTAATCCGGTAATAAATGGCTGTGTCCTACAGACAAGGGTGTGAGGCTGCTGCAGCCACGGCTTTATCAGATGGAATGGTATTGGCACACACATGCACAGACACACACACACACAGTCACAGATGTAATAGAAGCTGCATACATGTGTGTAAGCATGCATGCTCTCTCTCTCTCTCTCTCTCTCTCTCTCTCTCTCTCTCTCTCTCTCTCTCTCTTTCTCTCTCTCACACACACACACACACACACACACACACACACACACACACTCATTTATACAGCTTCAGATGGAATCACATCTGCTCCGATTGTGCTGCTTTTATGGATGCCATGCAAGAGCAGCGCCACTATTACCTTTAAATGATTAGAGATGCGAATATGATGCATTATGGTGATAGGATCGTATAGAGCTGTTGCGTTGCTCTTTATGCCTGCTGGGATTGACTGTAACTGAATGAAGGAGCAGGGAGGGACACGGGGAGTAAGAAGAATAGTAATGTGACCTTTGGAGATACTTGGAGTTCACCTGTTTTAATCAGCAAATACAATTGATTTTTACTCCCCTGGTTTTATTTGTGTAATACTGTAGTCACTTGGTCCTCTGAGACTAGACTTAAATGTGTGTGTGTGTGTGTGTGTGTGTGTGTGTGTGAGAGAGAGAGAGAGTGTGTGTGTGTGGGAATGTCTTACAACCTCCACACTCCTTGTTGAGTTGTAACCCAGAGCAGTGCTTTCATTTTCCTGTCATAACGTATATTGATTTTTTCCTGTGTATGTGTGTGGGCACCCGCTCATGTATGTGCTCTAAGCTTCTGTTTTTGATCATGTGTTTTCTCTTCAGGTGGAGCTGACCGGCAGCAGTGTGTTTGACTATATCCACCCAGCGGACCATGTCGAGATGGCCGAGCGGCTGGGAATCAGGCCACATCTGAGGGCCGAGGCCGGCTGCCTCGTGGCCCCTGAGAGCGCTTCCAGTTCCGCATCCACCTCCTCCCTGGCTGGAACCCCTGAACCCGGTACTGATTGTGCTGTGAATTTATAGAGAGAAAACTGAGAGAACTACGAGGAAAAAGAAGATGCATTTTTGTTGCATTCAGTGAAGTAATTTCTCTCATCCTCAACAGCTCCATCTAGTCCTCATTCTCCTGCTGACGATCCACCCGACCGTGGCTTTTTCATCCGCATGAAGTCCACGCTCACCAAAAGGGGCCTGCACGTCAAGTCTTCTGGATACAAGGTACAAATGTCTGAGGAATTCATTCATCATAATTTGAAAACATACCTTGTATTATGCTTGCTCTCCTATTTACCTGCTTGTTCTTGGGACAGTAAAATAACAAGCAGACCCATGTCATTTTGTTTTGCACGGCCAGGGTTTCATAGCACTGTCAAGTTGGTCGTTTTCAGTGAGTTTTATGGCAGTGACCTTATTTCACACTGGACCGCTGCACATAACGGTTTACTGCACTCTCTGCTGTAATACCAGCGCTGCTGCATTCTTTAGCTCAGAGTCTGACTTTGTATTGTGTTTATGTTGAATGTATATTGTTGAATCTTATATATCTGACGTCATTTTGTTGTTACTGCTATTTTCTTCACCCTGGATTACACAACTGTCTTACAATGCATCAATAAATTCGACCGAGTCTTATTTTTTCCTGCAGAAATGGGCCTGCGTGAAGGAATATAATACTGTTGTCTTCTGTTTGTCAGGTAATCCATGTGACAGGACGAATCCGCTGCCGCCCTGCACTCGTGCCGGGCTCCACGCGTTCAGTGCGTCGACCGTTGGGTTTGGTTGCGCTGGCACACACACTCCCACCCTCCACGCTTAATGAAGTCCGCATGGAGAGCCAAATGTTTGTCTTCCGAGTGAACATGGACCTACAGGTCACATATTGTGAGAACAGGTGAGGGTTTTGTCCGTGTTTTGAGGCGTAGCTGTACGGACATGAATACATGCAAATAAGTGTCTCTGCATGTTTTTTAAAAATGTGTTAAATCTTGCTGTATTGCTCCCACATGTTTTTCATTAGTAGTTGGCAGACTACCCTGCCAGGTGGTGCTTTTAGAAGGCACATCTGCTTCTGCTTAGTAGACAAATGTGAAATTTTGCTTTTGTTGTTGCATTTCTTTGCAGGATCTCAGAGTATATGGATCTGACCCCAGCAGAGGTGGTGGGACATACCTGTTACCACTTTATCTATGTAGAAGATCTGGAAAACCTCCGACAGAGCCATGAGGACTGTGAGTCACATCCATATGCGCATGTAGCTTATGAAATTATTCTCCCCCTCCCTCATTCTGCACATGTCTGAACTTCGGGGGGTTTAATGAATCAAATAGTGCCTGTTGAAATCTAATTTTGTCCTGTTGTGATAGGCGCCCTCTGCTGCCATTATTATGAACTGCCAAACTAATAACTCCTCTTGTCTCTCGTCTCCCGTATCCTGTTATACATCCTTTCTTTCCACCTTCCACTCATCTCGTTCCAAGTGCTGAGGAAAGGCCAGGTGGTGACCGGTTACTATCGTTGGCTCCAGAGGAGAGGAGGCTACCTGTGGATCCAGTCCACTGCCACCGTCTCCATCAACCACAAAGCCCCCCATGAACGCAACGTCATCTGGGTCAACTACGTCCTGAGGTCAGTACAACTACAGCAGTACCCTAGTGTGTTCTACAGGACTGCTGATATGAAGGAAATTTATATATGCAGGCACCATACTGTGTACAGAGATCCTTTGAAGGGATAGATGATGAAATGCAGAGGGCTTATTGGAGTTTCACTCCCTCCAACATATGAGAAAACTGATGAAGATACTTTCAAATTAGTGACATCAAAGCAAAGCACATTACCAGTTAATGTTAATGGTTAAAAAGTTCATAGTTATGTAAAATTTTTATATTAATGTTAAAGATAACTAAATTATAAAAGGACAAAACTTTTAGTTATCCTAAATCATCTTATGTTTTATAGATTAATGAACTAAAAACAGACATAGTTAACCCCCTTTTATTAAATTACTGACTATTAACTCCAGTTAAAATTACAGATTCTTATCATTTTAGTGACACAACCCAGAGCTTTTACAAGCTTTCACAGTGCATAATGTTATGATGGACAGTCCTTTTTATTTGTACAGACTTTAAAATTATTTATCAGAAGTAAATTTCAGTACTCTTGCAGAGTCTGTAGTAGCTTTTTCAGCTTTTTCACTAACACCAATACAGCTTGATTTACTCACTATTTAATGTCATTACTCTGAATTGGCAGACATGCTCTCTTAAGAAGGTTTTGAAAACGGAAAACCAAATTAACCTTTAATTGTAGTATTAAAATGCAGTATTACTTTTGCTTAAGGGTTTATTTATTTACTACACAGACACAACAACTGCAGTAACCTTGACAAAATATGCTTTTCCCGTATTTCTCTCTTGTATACACACACACACACACACACACACACACACGCGTATTCACCCAGACACTGATGCAAATATACTCACTGTACACACACATACGCACAAACACAGTACATAACAGAAATATGTGCACAGCGACAGAGCAGTCAGACAAAAACAAGAGGAGTAGGCTGAATTTCAATGCTAATTGGACTGAAGCTATATAATTACAACAAATGGATGTCAGAATTTTGGGGCTGAATGGTGTTTTAGTTAATTAGTGCTGTAATTACAAGAGCTCATTAACTTCTCCAACAGCCTCCTCCTTGTCTGAGCTTAACTGTGTATAGGTGGGCTGCTGAGTGGGACATAGTGTGTGTGTTCCTGTGTGTGTGTGTGTGTGTGTGTGTGTGTGTGTGTGTGTGTCTTGAAGGGCGGGGTCTGCCTGTCTGCCTGTTTGCGTGTCAATGCTTGTGTATGTGCGATGAGGGCTGTTGTTTGGAGAATTGGGTATGTGTTAGGTGGAGGTTAGAAGGGCGTGAGGCAGTTTGGCTATTGGAGGTTGTTATTAGGCTGATTATATGTTGTTTCCATCCTAAGTATTCACTCAAATCAGCACGGCACTAGTGTTTTTTTTTTTTTTAAAGCTGTAAGTGGTTTTAAGTGGTAGATGATCATTTGTGTTTATGTCCACCTTTTCTCCCTCCCTTTCTCCATTTTTCACATCCATCTATCCCTCCATCCATCCAGTCGAACAGAGTTGCCCGATACTCCCCTGGATCTACTGCAGCTACCAGAAAACATAAGAGCAGAGCGACTTCGAGTTAGCTCGTCCCCCACCGACAGCTCCCCACAGGCCCGAGGTAGGACGCCACGCACACACAACTACCTTTCCAGCATGCCCACTGACACACAGAAATGCCTACTTCTTCTTCTTCTTATCATAAAAATCTCCTTCTCTCCTCAGGCTCGCAGCCAGTGAAGAGCTCAGTGGGGAAGATTGACCCCGACACTAAAGGCAGAGACAAATTCACCGTCTCAGCAGTCCAATCAGAGGATAGGAGGAAGCGTCTGCTGAGGTCCGAACCCGAGGGCGCTCCTCCTGAAACCCGTCGCAGGCTGGAGGAGCTCCGTCATGCAGAGGAGAGTGTGTCAGCCTCCTCTGACCTGGCGAGTGAAAGCGAGGGGGAGGAGGAGGAAGAGACAGAGTGGGACCAGGGGGGAGATAGTGACAGATTGAAACAAGAAGATGGCGGGGGAGGAGGTAAACAGAGTAGGGGAGGAGACACCCCGACCAGAGGGGAGAGGGGTAGCAGGGTGCACAACGGCCGGGCTGTGATCCAGCAGCTGAAGAGCGTAGTGACCCCGTCTCCCCTGCCTGGCAGCCCCAGCATCAAGACTGAACATGAAGCCCTGACCACCGGGGGGCGCTGGGGGTCACACACGCAAACCTCCACTTCGCACACACACTCCACCCAGCCCCAACCCTCACATGCACACACACCCTCCAGCAGCCTCAATGGTGACAGCCCCACCACCCCGATCCCCGACTCTTCATCTAGCAGTGAGGCCCCCCCAAAAGGCTTGTTCACACCGCCGTCCCCGGCTTTGTCCCCAGCCATGTCCGTGTCCTCCCCGCTGCCCCGTGATGAGAGAGCCGTGTCAGGGGTGGTCAGCCGGAGCAGTGGTGGTGCAGGTAGCGGCCCTGACTTTGAACTGCTCCAGAGACTGGCTGCAGGTGGCGCAGCCGGGCGGGTCCTCTTCCACCCCCTTGCCCTCGGCCCGCAGGGCCCTCAGAGCCTCTACGCTCCCAGCACTATCCGCTATGCTCCACCTGAGCTGCCCCCCTCCCACCACCACAGTGCGGGACACAGCGATGGCCTGCAGCTACGCTCGGACCACCACAAGGGACCCCCGCCAGCCTTCTTCCCCCACCTACAGCGGTTGGCCGGCTTGCCACCCTTCAGTGGTTTCTCCCCGTCTGACAGCCCTTTTTCCTCCGGCCTGCCCTTCTGTATGAATGGACTGAGGGGGGCCGCAGGCTCCGAGGAGGACTGAGACTCAGAGGGGAGGAGGTGAAGATAAAAATGAAGGACGGAGCAGAGTGACAGACCAGAAAGAGAGACATTGAAAAGGGCAGGAGAGTCAGAAGTGGCAGGACATTAAGCCTCTAAGGACGTTACTAATTGGACAATAAGTTGAATAACTGCAATCTAAAATATGTGACAAGTCGCTGCCGTAGGGATTTATTGTGTCTGCCTGTTGTGGACAAGTGACAGTGACTCTCAGAGAAAACGGGACATGGAAACTTTTGACTGGTTGTCCCTCAAGACTTTCCGTCTCTACAACAATAATGAACTCTGCTCTGTGTCTTTCTCTAGATGACTGTGTTGATTTCTGTGTCTCTTCCACTCAGAGAAGCCATATTGTATATAGAGACAAAACCATAAAGACCCTCAGCTCACATCCTCCTCACTGTCACTCCAATTAACCCAATTAACCCTAAAGCCAGTAGAAAGAGATGGACACTTGTAGGAATGAAAGTGACTTTGGAATATACATTTTTATTATTGCAGTATTATACAAGTCATCTCTTACGCTGAGATCCAGGTGAGAATTTGATTATAGGGTTTCCCTGAAAATAGATGGAGACAACCCTCTGGTGTTTTGTATTGAGATTCAAAATAATAATAATAATAATAATAATAAATAAAAAATCCAAGTATTCATCAGTCAGCCATACTTAAAGCACACTAATGGGACAAAAATATGAAAAATATAGTCCCAGACATTCCATTATGTAAAAGGGAAGAAAATGCAATGCAGACAGGACGTTATTTCTGTTGTTTGATCATAGGAAGGCCATTTGTTTAACTGATTATTAATTATAGTATATTCTGTATGATGCTGCGATTATGTTTGTGTATGAAAGCCATATTCTTGTTTTTTTAAGGTTTTTATTGATTTTTGTTTTTTTGCACCAGATAAAACCGATGGAAGGATGGTGCAAAAAATGTGTCTATACAGACAGAATAAGGTTGTTTAATTGGATGTACAATGTCATCCATGTACCTTTTTTTTTATTATTCTCTGAAAAAGATATTTCTGAAAATGTTTTTAGGAGGGGAAATGGTGCTGGACAGAAGTGTTTATTATCATTTAAACCTCTGCGTTATTCTGAGCACTTACTGAAATTTGTTCTGGTGTGAACTCAAAGCACTTCATCACTTAACACTCACTGTGTGGTCCTGTTAAAACAGAAATCAATGCAAGAGTGGTCACTAATATCATAGCCTGACCACAGTGTAGTAGAGAGGACAAATGGTCATTTAAAAAGGCAGATAAAATAAACAGACCACATATGGTCATTAAAAGACGACCATTAGAGGTCATTAAAAATAACCAGAATTATTCTGATATTGGTTTCAGTTCAATTGGAAACAAAGTTTTAAATTAAAAAGTGGAAATACAAAACACTTTAAATTTCTGTTTCACACTGACTAATTGGAATTCCTCTTACGACTGAAAAAACAAACAATACAAAACACTTTTTATATGAAAAAAATTAAATAAAATTTTTTTTTTAATTAGTGCTCAGAATATTTAATCTTCCATTTGAACACAAACAAATTGGTGGTACTCAAACAACTGAGAATCTTCATTCCTAAATGTGATATTTAATATTTGAAAATGTGACCCCTTTTTGCCAAAATGCATTAAATGTGATGCAGAAATTTTGAATAGTGAACGTTTTACCAATACCTATTATAAATATTCAGAAATAAACATCAGATAATTCTCTAGCACTTTGGAATAAAGCCCTTCAAATTGATCTATCAAGTGATCAAAATACACCTAAATTTATATAATCTGTTGAAAACTGAGTCTTCAATGTCCGACAATGTATGTACGTTGTTTTTTGCTTCCTTATTGAGATTATGGTCGACTGTCTGGCCTGAGGGCTCAGTTTATGTGGAAATCTCTGATGTCTGACAGAAAAAAAAGAAAAGAACATTTCTAATTGTTCAGATCCGATGTGCACTACACACCCATACTGTAGCTGTCACATAAAAATATGTGTGAGCACACATATTCTCGGGTGTTTAATGGTATAATGTGTGCATATGATTGTGTGTGTGTGTGTGTGCGCGCGTGTGCTTGCTTGTACAAGTGTGTATGTTTTTTGTTGTTTTTTTTTTTTGGTTGAATTAAATAGCTAACCCCTTGCCCATCACTGTGAAGCTAACGTTATCCTCCCATCTTTGTGAATACACCACCCACTCATCAATAAAATGAACAAATGTAAAAAGAAAAACAGTGATACAGATGACAATAACAATAAAATATTCCAGTAGAGGAGCACAACTCAAGGCTTTGTTGTTTCTTTCTTGCTTCTGTGCAGCACATAAATTGAACAATTAAGATATAGTAAATGGCATGACTCAGTGTATGTTTTACATAGTTAATTAAGGTTTAATGTGTGATTCAAATAGATTATTTTTGGACACATATTTACTCTAGACTACATTTGCATACGGTAGATTTATTAGTCCTCAAATCAGTTAATAAAATGCACAAAAACAAAACATAAACATAACAATCACAAGGGACAAATCAGTGGTAAAATAAATATAAAAGATGTTTCTGTCACTGCAAGTAGTTATCAACAAAGCATGTGGGCCATCTTGCATATCCCTGAAGTGGCCAAGACACAATAAAACACAACAATATTGATCCTTAATAAAATAAAGTAAATTTTGGAGCAGGTGAGAGCGACCCTGGCATGAAGCAGGACATCAGTCGGGTGTGTTGAATTCAGCAAAGACTTTACCATAAATTCATCTGAAATGAACACAATAGCACAGAGAGCCTAAGAGAGTGTCTCACTTATGAGAGGCTATATGCGGGCGTGCATCACCGTGTGTGTACATATGTGTGTGTGTGTGTGTGTGTGTGTACATTGGTGGTGTGCTTGTGTGTCTATGTATGTGTGTGCGTGTGTGTGTGTGTGTGTGTGCATCTCCATGAATTTGCGAGTGTGTGTGTGTGTGTGTGTGTTGTCTGAAGCAGCCCCAGGGAGGGGCTCTGACATTGAAGACGGGTTAAATCCTGTTTTACATTCAAGTGGCAGGCCCTAGTTCATTAGAGTGAGGATCATTCCTCCTCAAGACCAAAGGAAGCGCATACTAAACAAGAGCAGTTGTTGGGGAGAAAATGCCATTGTACGTGCAAAACCGTATGTACTGTATAAGTGAGTTTGTGTGTGTGAGTGCGCTGATGTGCTGTGAATGGAGCTTCACAACAAACTCTGGTTTCTTCTTTATATCTTCTTTTCCGTGGAGTACAGTCTTGTATAGATGAAAATCACTGTGCACTATTTGTGTCAGTGTGTGTGTGTGTGTGTGTGTGTGTGTGTGTGTGTGTGTGGGTGGGTGTGTGTGTGTGCACAAGTCGTGGCAGCTCTTCTGACTGTCTTCCACTCAGCCTGTCATTGAGTCACCCATATGCCCTCTCTGTCACTGACTTTGATGGCTTATCTTACCCCCTGAATTGGAGTCGTGCTCCCAGGGGAAATACCTTAGCACATGTAAATGCATTTGAAAGAGTAAAAATATGGGTAGGAATAATAGAGTGAGGGATGGAGGAAGACACCCAGACAGCTTCCGCCTGACACAGGCTTACTACACCTCCACAACTCTCTCTTTCCTCTATCCTTCCTCTACTACCTCTACTATTTTCATCTTTGTCATTGTTTCCCAACAGTCTTTTTCTTTCTCCTCTCAGCCAGGAGAAGGCCAATCCATAGTTAATGTGCTTCTCAAGGCAGATCCTTTGATCCATACGCATGGCATTTAACACCTGAGAGCAGATGAGCAATCTGCTCTAAAAATAAGCAGAGGTTATGGCTCCTACTTTCAGGGCCGAGAGTGTAGATGTGCTACTCAGGTTTGGAGATGTATGAGGCTAGACCTGGACTTGGAGCTGTTGTGGTTTCTGTAGCTGCTCGGGGTCTGGGGTGGATGGTGTTTGTCAGTGAGGGCGCGTCTCCTGCCTCTGGGCGCCCTGCCCTTTAGACGCGCCAGGCCTCAGGAGCCTCCTGCATGCCAAACAGACCTGTGCAGTCAGATGCAGCCGTGGAGGAGAGGAGAAGAGAGAAAAGGAGGGGAGTAGGAGCGAACGTGAGGAGGAGTCCAGAAAGAAAGAGACTTGAGGGCGAAAGGGTAGAAGAGGATCTGAAGGAGAGGAGAGGGGCTCAAGGGGAGGAGGTGGGGTGCTGGTCACACTGCAGCAGCCATCTAGACACACCCTGCATGTGAAACACAACTGCACTGAAACGCCCAGGGAATCAGCGAAGGAGAGGTGGGGAGGAGAGGAGCGCGAAGGAGAGAGGAAGAGAGGAGTAGAGGAAGAGAGGGTGACTCTGAGGTGAGTCTCAACAGCAACACTGTGTGTCGATGGCCGGGAGATATCACAGACCTTCGCCCTAACCCAGTCAGTGATAGTTATCACAGACAAAGTCCCCCCATCACCAACACTGCCACACACACACACACACACACACACACACACACACACACACACACACACACACACACACAAACACAACATGCTGCTCAGTTCATATATTCACACATGCTTGCTGATGAGCAGCTCATTATAAAAATTATGCATGTACAGCGCGTGTGTGGACAGTTTGTACATCTTTTGACTCCCACTGTAGGAAGACCTACTACTGAGTCTGACAGCACTTAAACATTAAAGATGCCCTTGTTTGCATAGTAGAGGCCTTTATCTGTGCTGGGGATTTTCTGCAATTGAAGGTTTTCGATTTCTTTATATTTACATTTTGTCTCATTTTCTGATGAGAGTGAATTTAGGTATTTAATTATGGTTCTCTGTCTGGGAATTTATCAGTTTCATCAAACCTGAGGGAGCTGATATTCCTCAGTTTAAGAGGAAGGTAATTTAAAGGCTAATTCCACTTTTTTAAGATGACTTTTGGTCCACAAAAAAGAATGAAAGAGAGCAATTTTACTGCTGGCAGTGTGGAGAAGCCTTTGAAACGGCATTAACACCTTAATAATATTTTTAAAGGATAAAAGAATTATAGACCTTTTCTTGGTGTCTGCTCAAGAAAGGTGTGTTGGTGAGACTATGGCCAGGTTAATCAAGTCCCCTAGTTACCTTCTTTCTGTTATGTGTATGTGTGTATGTACCCTGTTGCCCCCATTATGTACAGTGCAAACAGTACATTACAAACAACAGCTTCATTATATACTCAGAGATCAAGAAACCAACCAGTACTCCTATTCTGGAAAAATACTACATGGCCCAAAGTTTTATTTGTCAAGTTTTTAGTTGTACAAACAAATTTATTTTGGAATATGCACCATGTACGTATGATATAAACATGTTAAGCGCAGGTACAAATTTGGATTAAATGTAATTACCAAAAAACAATCTTTATAAGTTTATTTTTTTGGGCCCTATCAGCCTTTAAAATAAAATAAATAAAGGTACAATAACCCTGTACCTCTCTTGAAAATTATAATATTAGATACAAGTTCTAAAAATATAAATATTATTTGGTGTAGCAGAACCATTTCTCTGTCTCTTGGAGAGGTCAGGGATTGTGATTCCCAGTTTGGGATCACGGGTCTATTTACACGCGAAATAGTGATGTAAGAAAATATCAAACAAATTGCTTTACGATATTTTGTGATGTTTTATTGATTCTCAAAAAAAACCCCAACCGTTAGATAGCAGTGTTGCAAACTGAGGGCTATGATGTTGGATGTTACAGGGACTGTGATAAATACAACTGCAGATCCCACTGTTAAATAAAAGAAAACTTATTTTACTCCTTTTTAATGCACATGGTGGTGTTTACACTGATTTCCCCTTAGTTTGAAAAATAAAAAGGCAATAGTTTCCTTACAGTACTGCGAAATATTAAATAGTAACCCTGTATTGTGATACGTATCGTATCGCCAGCTTCTTGCCAATACACAGCCCTAATGTGAACTCAAACACTGAAGTCTGGACAGATTTCTCCTTGTTTTATTACTGTACATGTACAGTAGGGTGCATTGAAAGTGGTGCAAACACAAACAGAAGCAAACAATAGTGAACCCCATTTCCACACACAAAACTTTCCCATACTATCAGTTACTCTTTACATCCATTAAGACAGCCATTGTAGTGATCACCAAACGGTGTGAAATCCACTCAAAATGGTTTATGGTTACATTTAGGTACTGTACATGTATATCAACAATACAGAGAAAAATATATTACCACAGAAAAAGCTGTGATAAATACTGTTTCCAAAAGTCTAGTTACTATAATGACAAACAAAAGTGCTATTGCCCTTATAAAACAAATTAAAAAAAATAATTCACAGGGTAACTTAAACCTCTGTTATAAAATATATTCTAAAAGACCGACCTGAAACCTTACCTTACAGTATGTTGATTCTTTCTAGATCTCACAGCACATCAAAAACCAGCTTGTTTTATTTCAAGACTTTAATGAAAACTTCAAGTATTCAATCACAGTTATTTATGTCAAACACGATGATAAGACGAACAGCATCCAACAACAGTTGGCAGAGAAAAGCCAATAATATGGCCCAAAAATAATTGCATACAATGCAATGAAAGGTAGAACTGATGTTCTCTGTGAGGCCGTGCAGTGTGCCTGTGAATGTGAAGATGTAAAAAATAATAATTTAAAAAAATCAATACAGTTTACAGATTGATTGATAATGTAAGTGAAGCAGCTTTGAATATGTCTGATTATAAGAAATCTTTTTGTTTAAAAAAAAAAAGGATTTATTTTTATTTATTCACCAGAAGTGAATGTAGTCACACTACCAAAATTTCAGCACTTTTTCACCAGTTTTCCAAAAGGTCTAAAAGTCTTTCTCAACCTTAACAATAACCTTCACATCTCACACACGCACGTGCACACACACACACACACACACACACACACAAACAAATAAGGGGGAACCCTGAATCAAAGCAACACACACACACACACACACACACACACACACACCCTTTTTCCACTCTCCATCCAAGGTGTCTACTTGTTGGGCCCCTTGCCCTCATTGTCCTCACTGTCCTGATGTCTGCTGTCATGGGAGCCACGGTAACCCCGGTGTTCGCGCCTCTCGCGGCACTCCCTGCACTCATCCTCGTCCTCTCCCTCCTCCTCCTCGTGGATGATCTCCACCTCCAGGCGGCCGATGTAGAGAGATACCGCGCCGAGCCAGAAGAGGGCGACGCTGCCCACCATGGTGCTCTGGAGCAGCAGTGCCGGCACAGACAGCAGCATCATCCTCCGCAAGGCGAAAAGGCTGCCAAGGTAAGAGGCCCCGCCAAACGACACACACGCAGCTCCCAGGATAAAGAAGGCTGAGGAAAAACAGATTGATATGGTATTACTGCAGAGATCCTATTAATTCCCTCATAGCTCACTGTAATTAAATCTAGGATGCAGGCAGGTTGAGTACATATTCTCCAAACTAAACTATTTGAGTTAAAGATAAAAAAGAATAAAATAGAAGTCCAGGTATCTCTACCGGTGTGTCTATGATTGATCTTCAAGAAAGGTAATAGAGGTGATAGAAATTTCTATTTCTTAGGTTAAGATGCTTTTATTCCGACATAAATAATAAAGTTTTGTTTTCATGGTTTTTCACCCTTTAATGTGCGTCAAACTCCATGACTATTAAATGAAGGTCTTGCTTAATAAAAGTTTAACACTTAAAACTGACTTTTCAGGCACCCATGACATTAGGTACCTCTAGATATCAAAGATCTCAGCTCCTTATTTACTCATGATGATTCGAGTCAATTGCAGAAATCCTTGTGAAATTATTCATTTTAAAAACTGTTGCTGAATGAAAAAACAAAAATCTATTGCAAGGTTCTCCAAGAAAAAGTGATTGATTTAAGGACAAAAAGAGCTGAGGTATATTTACTTAGATGCTACAGTTTTATAAGAATAAGAATTCTAGTTATTTCATGGACATTAATTGATTTTATTTTTTTTAAATCCACTAGTTTTAAAGAATTTAGGACAACAGCAACCGTTTGTTACTAAACTTGAATCACAAGCTGCAGTGTGCTGATGTGCAGCTCTACTGTATATAAAACTGAGAGCTGGAGCCTGTACCATATCCTGCTTCTCGTCCCACTTCACTCTGGACAAACGCGATGACTCCGATCCCAGTCGCCAGCAGTCCGTTCCTGAACCACGAGAGGAATCCTGCAAAACAATCAAAGCCAGAATTAAACAGCTGACACTTACAGCCTGACCAGAAATCTGCGCCGAGAGCCAGAATCAATCACACGGTTTACACACATACGATAATATAATTACTGTCTTTACAGCTTCTAGGTTTATGCAGTGTTAGACAGTGCTAATCAATAAGTGTACCTAGATGAGAGGCTGTGTCTCAGTTCCATACTACATACTATTTCTGGGCAGGGTTTGGGTAAATAGTGTGCTCACACAGTATAATCAAGGTTTAAGGGAAAAAAAACTTAATTTTTGACTATGCTGTTGATGTATCAGTCCATTATTATCCCACAATGCACTGAACAGAGGACATGGAGAGGATGCTGATGATGGCGGATATAGAAATAGATTTAGAGATAGAAAATTAGAATAGCACTAACATTTGTGTACATTTTGTAGTAGCAGAGGTGGAACTGGGACACAGCAATTAACTCCAAATGGCTGTGGAATCAAACCTCCCTCTGGGACAATAAATCTCAATCTAATAAGGGAGGGCCATGTTGCAGTATTTACAACAATACCTAAAGGCAAAATGGGGTCATTAAAGCAGAGATTATAGATATCTTTTATCTCTTATGCTTCTTGTCTTTTATGGACTACAGGTCTAATATAAAGTACATTTGATCGGTTGAATAGAAGTCAATTAAAAGGTACTGCACAGCTACGCAGGGGTTTTCACTCTGGCTTACAAAATAGTAAAAGTAAGTAATAAAAAATAAGTAAAAGTAAAAGTTAATAAGGTATTGAGATAATGGTGTTGTGTTGCGGTTTGTTTCATTCTGTGGTCACTGAAATGTTTGACGTGCTCTAAAGTTCTACCCCCCAGATCTTTGTAATCCTTGCAAGGGTTGTAATGTTAAGGGGAGTTATGTTGTATGTTTTACATGTATTAAATTAAATGTTTTGTTTGATTGCAAATAACAGTGTAATCAACTTATAATGTGATTTTTCATACATTTATACATCGTTATTATTGGCTTGTTCTACACTATAAGGAGGTTTTAATTCTATTGCATTGTTGTGTTATGTCATTGGTGTTGGATACCAAATGTCCAACTCGATACCAAAACGTACTTCTACCTTCAATAAGTATTTGATCTCTGGGCTGCACCCATAATAATGTCAAAACAGGTATTTCTACCAGCTGTCAAAAGTAACAACACCTGCTATTTAGGGCTACACAATTAATTGTAATATTATTGAAATCGCAATATCCAAATCGCAAGAAGCTGCAATTTTCTGAGTGCGTCATACAGCATTAAAATGAAGTACTGTAGTGCTGCAGAGGTTCCCTGGCCTACAAGTCTGTAAGAAAACATTTTTGTTTTGTTTGTTTAGACCCCAACAAATGTCACATTGTCATATCATCACAATTTTAACAGGTTTTTTTTTTTTGGGGGGTTTCAGTGAAACTTTGTGATGAAAAAATAATAATTCCCACAAATAATGAATGATATCACTATCACAGTATTTATGAAAATAATAACAATATAATTTGTTTGGTACCATATTGTGCAGCCCTACAATTTGCTTGGTTGTTTTATCTTAGGCCTTAGAGCAATGTTTGCACATGTGCTCTTATTTAAAGTGTTTTTATTGTGATGTTTGGTTTCGATGCAGTGATTCCCTTAATGCAAGATTTGTTTTCTTCTCCTATGGGAGGGCATTCACTAACCTCAACCTATACCATCACTAACTGGGATGTGTCCACAAAGGCAACACACTGTTTCAGCTCAGAAGGGCCCTACAAGGCAACTGCTGGATGAATATCAACTTTTAAATGTGAGGTTGAGGGTTAAATGGAAGACAAAAGTTACATTTCCAGCCTACATTTAGTCATTTTACCTGTTTCGTGGGACTTTCTCAGCATCTGCAAAAAAAAAAAAAAAAAGAAGACAGCTATTAGGAGCATAACCTTTAATTTAACCAATATCGTATATTTATTATAGAGACTATTTATCTCAAGAGGAAATGAGAAACGAAAGCAAAAGCGAACAGATTTCAGTCTGTTTTTACAAAGAAACTAACTCCATGAACATACAGCATTTTCCTCCCGGGCCGAACCTACCAAAGCGTCCGCCTTGTCGAGGTCTGTGATCTGGTACTGCTGCTCCGGCCCCCGGCTCTTCCCCCACGGTCCCTTCTCTCCGACCCGCAGCCGTGCGGAGCCGTGCAGCCTCCTCAGCGGGGCTCGGGCGCACGGAGGCCGGACCAGCTTCACTATCCGGACGAAGTGCGACACGGCCGGCGTCAGCTGCCTTCTCATGAACAAACTCAGGAAAGCCATCACATCACGAGTCCCAGCTAGCTTAAAAAATTACGAGCTCAAAAGCAAAAAAAAAAAAACAAACAAAAAAAAAAGAAAAGCACTACACGACCTCCGCATGCCCTGTGAACTGTCACCTGGTCAACGACAACCCGGAAGAGTCTCCCGTAAAGCTATGGACAGTGTCGTGAAAAAGGTGAGCAGAATTAATACAGCGCCATCATGCGACTGACGATCAATAAAGGCAGCGGGATTACAGGAGAGCCAAATTAAGGTTATTTTAAAGCACAACTCATTTTTCTTTTCCATTTTTCATCGACATCCGCCATTAAAATAGCTATAAATAAAGTATATAAGCATGCAGTTGCATATTTCCGCCGCATGATGGCGCCAAAGCACAAGACTGTGGCATGTTCACATTTATTTATTTTATTGCAATATTACAATATAACATAAAATATGCTCAACAAAAAAAAAAGATACTCTGACAAAACACAAAGGCAACAGATTATGACAGATGGAGTTATAAGGCTTAAATATAAAAGTAAGATAAGTAGGTGAATAAAATAATATAAACATAAAATGGAGAACAAGTAGATCTACTTTTCATCTTTAAAGGGTCTTGTCATAGAGTTGACACTTTATAAACACAGGTATGTTATTTTTATTTTTTTTTACAACTTTTTCTTAGGGGAAAAAAAATGAAAGAAAAGACAGATTGAGGGACTTGGATCCTTCCAGTTGCAACAATCATGGGTATATGATTTACTAAAAAAAAAAAAAACTAAAATGAGGTTAATTAAATGGGTTTTGTTCATTTCTACCAGATTCAGAAAATGTGAGTTTTGGAAAGCTACAGAGAGTTACACTTCTTGACTTTCACTTTCAATATTTCTATTATTATTATTGGGCTTTTTATGCCTTTATTACAACTTGAGATAGACAGCAGAGAGAGAGAGAGCGAGAGAGAGAGAGAGAGAGAGAGAGAGAGAGAGAGAGAGAGAGAGAGAGAGCCCTAGTACAAAGGGCACACTCTACCGGGTGTGTACTGTATATGTTTACTTTTGTAACCTCTTAAACTAAAGAGTGGGTCCATCTTTGTAAACCCGTGTTGTTTGAATTTTGAATGTATTTTCATATTTTTTATAGTAAAGTCTGGTTCGCCAAGTTTTCACAGGTAGCAAATAGGCTAGAATGAAATTTAGGGAAAGTGTACACATGTATAATATTTCAGTTTGAAGGAAACATAAGAATTACACTCTGTAGAGTAGGAACAAGCAGATGCTGAATAAACTATGTGATAGTTTGGAGAACATCTTAATAGGAACTTGAAGGGGATAATTAGGAGTATGAGAGAGATTTGGATACAAAAGCTGAGGTCTTAAACATACAGACACACACATAGTTATCATTGTTTGCAAATGATGTCAAATACACACCCTTATACTGATACTATAACCCTTTATACACACCCAGTGAGCCTGTGTGTGTGTCCCCTCTATGAGGATGAGTGGACAGCCTCTTCCTGAGGGTCTTTTGTCTTTATCACCCGCTGGGACCCAGAAAGACCACGCCTGTCATACCTGATTGTTCAGTGTGAGGAGCATAGAGAGCTGCACAGGGGTCTCAGATGGGAGTTTGTATTTGTGTGCGTAGGTGTGTGTGTGTGTGTGTGTGTGTTGGCAGTGGGGTCTTTTACAGACGGCCAAATCTTTGATGTGATGCGCAGCTGACCCTCTGGTCGCTCTCACGCTACTGTCCCCAACACAATGGGAGAGTAATGTTTTTATGCACACACAGATATACACGCACACATGCACGCACTCACACATACAGATAAAAGTTGTCCAGTTTATAACGGTCTGATTATTTTTCAGTGACATTGGCCACTGTATAAAATGGCTGTATACTCCCCGAAAGAGACTTTTATATTTATTCTTCCAAACCTAAAAAAAACAAAACAAGCTTTTTAACCCTTTTGAATATGCTTGTTCTTAATATGTCTAAAGTATTTGCTTTTATCACAGTGTGGTGATAAGATTACTGTAATACACACACACACACACACACACACACACACACACACACACACACAGGTTCACTGGGTGTGGTCTAGGCTTCCCAGGATGCTGTTCAGGACAATTTCCTGATAAAGTAAAGGTCTTTGTGGGTGTGTGTGTGTGTGTGTTACTGTGTGTGTCTATGAAGGGAGGAGGAGAATGCTGACTGTGAACATGTGGCAGTGTAGGTCCAACTTGTGTCCTAAACAGCCTTTCAAACAGTGTGTGTTTTTAATGTTATTCTACATAATAAATGAGGGTGTATCTACATGCATCCAAAGATAGAAACATGCCAAATAGCTATAACTTGACTTTGTTCAGTGTGTTTAGACACAACCGCTGTGTTTCTTATTGTCAAGTGAATTTAGGGCTATTTAATAAGGCTACATAATAAGGCTATTTTACACATGGCTGTAATAATCTTATTCTATCAAATATTTGATTTTATTTATTTATTTATTTTCATTTATTTGATGGGAGAGACAGGAAAGTGGGGAGAGAGAGAGAGAGAGAGAGAGAGAAAGAGAAAGAGAGGATGACAGCAAAGGGCTGCTGGTTGGAATTGAACCCAGGCTACTATGTAAGGACTGATGTACCAGGGAGAAGCTACAGTAGCCACAAAACTCCTGAAAAATGTGAAAGGCCCCTATTTTTTTCCCCGCTGTTTGATGGACTAAGTGTATTTCGGGGTCACTTTTGATGCTATAATAAAGTGCAGCATGGACAGATTGGTTCAGACATTTTGACTGCCGACAGAAATTTCCTCTATATATCTCTGTGAGCTATTTTAAGGAAGGCTAGCGGCACAGTTGATCCTCAAATTCCCCTGTCTTACCACTTCACTAACCCGTATCACTCTCTCTCTCTTTCTTTTCCCTTTGCTCTCATTTCCCCAGTTTTACTCAACAAACCCTCTTCCCCCTGCCTTTCTCCCTTTAATGTTGTGCATTCTTGTCTGGATGACTGGGCTTTGACATCATGATGCTCTTTATTTCATTTCCTCCTATTGATTCTGGACGATGATGAGTGAAACTGTTTTGTACTTCAAATTCCCATCTCACCTTTTCCAATCTCACCACAGTGAGATTTGCAAATCCGTCTTTTTGACATCAACTCGATTTCTGAGGCTATTCCATTACTGGCTTGAATCTCCATCCTTTATTTTGTTTTTACTTTCACACAGCTCGCAAACACACCTCTGCTTTCCTCAACCCTGTGACTCTGCGTCTTCCAACATCCTTTTACACAAATCTCTCTCTCCTCGCTCTCTCTCTCTTTGCCTCTGTGACGTCACGTTCTTCCCACGTCTCCTTAAATAAATAAAAAACAAATTGTCCATGAAACCCAAGTGCTACTGTCTGTTTTTAAAGCTGTCATTTGTGACATTTGTGTTGTCGTGCATCCAGCAGCAGCCGGCATTTTATACATATTCTTGCCAGCACATGTTAAACGTACAAACATACATTTGTAATTGTCTAAATATACATGACCTGGATTTGTAGGCTTTACACACACACAAACAGGATAACACTATAAAACAGTAAAAACACAAAAACAACAATGCTGATTCCATGTTGGATCAAAACACTTTGTTTACAATACCAGTTTCATGAACAAACATACATCTAAAGCAGATTTGTTGGATGTTTTTAAGCCATATTGGCACGCACACAGCACAGCAAAACACAAAGTAAGCAAGTCTGCTTATAGGCCTCAACTGTCTGTTAACTCTTTGTTATCCTCTCTGCTTGATTCCTGTGGTGTCAACAGAAAAGAGGAAAGAGAGAGATAGAGAGAGGAGGAGGAGATGTGTATACGTGCAGAGCTGCACTAGTCTGTGTTACACAGTCTGGGGGATTCCAGCCAGCTGCGTTGGGAGCACTGACCTTGGCAAAGAGTACACTGTTTTTCAGTCCCTGGGACAAACAAGTGTTGGATGCAAGTGTCAACTGGTCAGCAGACAAATGATTTACTGACATGAATTAAGGGAGAGACGCTACTGCTTAACAAGTCAATGAACTGTTTGAATACAAATTTAAAACAAACTTTGAAAAGTTTTATGAATACACAGGAGTGCTGGAATGTAGCTAAGTAATCAAGTACTGTGTTTAGAGTAAGTACAAATTTGAAGAACCTGTGCTTCACTCTACTTTTTACTTCACTACATTTCAGGGGGAAATATTGTACTGTTTACTGCACATCATTTATCTGGCAGCCTTAGTTATTTTACAAATTAATATTTTTGCACACAAATAATACAGAGAGCTTTTAAAATATGATGTTTTGTTTTCTTATTCAATTAAACAGTTTACACAGTACGGCTGAAATGATTAGTCGAGCAATCAATAAGTCGACTGACAGAAAAGTAACTATTTTGATCATCGTTTAGAGGTTCAGTGGCATCCAGCAGTGTAATTGTAGATCACGAGTGCTTCGCTTTACCCTCCCCTTCCAAGCATAAAGGGGAAACTACTGTGGCTGGGAACGGTGCGAAAAACATGAAAGCTCCTTTCTAGAGTCAGTGTTTGGTTTATCCCTTCTGGACTAAAGTAGAAACTTGGCGGTTCAACATGGTGGCCTCCATTGAAGGTGATCCACTATGAAAACCAAAAAACCTCTTGCCAAGAGATCCTCCAGAATGTTGCACACAGGACCTAATTCATTTACTTTAAGCAAAAATGTAACAACAATTTAACAATTTGCTGCTTTTCCTTTATTAAATTAGTTTTTCTAATAATGTTGAGGTTTGGACTGTTGGTTTGACAAATTATTATTGTGAAGGTGTCACTTTGGGCTCTGGGTAATTGTGACGGCATTTCTCCCAATTTTTTTTAATTTTTACAAACCAGACAATAATTCAATGAATCGAGAAAATAATAAGCAGATTAAACCATAATAAAAAATTAGCATTTGTTGTAGTCTTATACAACATAGTTAATGAGCTCCACTACAACCAACTACAACAGTAAAATTCTGCTTTTGTATGTGTGAGTAATAATAATCTAATGATATAACTTATAATAATATAAAAGTTAACTTACATTTTACTGTACTTTAAGTACATTTTCCTAATTATACTCACATACTCTTA